TTCAACCGCCTCTGCGCACTCTCGGGGTCCTCTCCTCTCCAAGGCTTAGTCCTAGGGCATTCACCCGTTCTCTAATCGTCTGTGCTCTAGCCATCGCGGCAGGACCATTGAGGAAAAATCAAGTAGTCCGTAAACCCTGATGAGGAATGGACCTGGAGTTCTTCAGCGAAAAAAGTTTCGCGTACGAAAAGAGGAAAATTCGCTTTCTCTCTTAGCGAACCATACCCTTCCACTTTTTTCCTAGGCTTTCGCTTTTAGGCCCTTCCACCAAACGTGCGAGTTACCGTAATCTTGATGCAGCATGACAATGCCCCCCACCCCTTTTGAGGATACACTGCTCCTGTTTCGGTTATCCCGATAGCTTGCTAATTGCTTTCAGCAGTGACAGATAAATACGCGCCTGCCGTCGACAACCGCGATTTCCCTTTAGATCTTCGATTTCGGCGGAAGGTGAACGTGAAAACGTGTTACTCGATCACGTCACCTGCGACAACAACGATCAGTTCTCTCACGGTAATGGGGCGCCGTTGTTCGCCTTTTAATCTATAACCTCCATCGTGCAGTTTCGGCACAACATGCAGGTGCCGCGTCATGGAGAAATGTGCGAACCATGAGTGATGTGATATTATTAAGACATTTCCAGTATCTCCCTAATAAGGTGTTGTTCACAGTTCATTATGCAGGAATTAAGCGGCGCTTCGATTAGGCGAGCAGGCGATCAGGCACGTTCATAGTCTCACTCGCCTAATCGTCTAATCGATACGCAGCGATTGAGCAAGTAAGACTGCATACATATCGACTGATTCGCACTGCCTGTTCAGCAATCGCCCAATCGCCTTCTCGCCTGTCGTGAACTCTGAACAGTTGTTCAAGAAATAGTAGAAGCAAGAGGAAGAGATCTGATCCATATCCGACACCGCCCAACTGGATATTTATGAGATCGATCAATACGTACCCAATTCCATTTGTGGATTCACCGATTGCCCATTTAATCCGTATACGTTTCTTCATAGATTGCTTGATTTTTGAAGGTTGCAAAGAATGAACTCTTCGGTAGCTACATATCACCTTGAGCAACCAACACCGAAAACATCTGATGAAGCCTTCAAGCAACGATCCTTTCTTCGGGTCTCATCCAGTAAGGGGGGGGGGCATTGTGATGCAACGTCAAGTGGCTGCCCTCACCCCCCACCCCCTAGACTGCCTTCACTCCCCCTGGCTCACGGGGTCCCGTACTTCGAGAAACCTGTGCGCCAGGGGGAGTGTAGGCAGTCTAGGGGGGTGGGGTGAGGGCAGCCACTTGATGCCCCCCTTACTGGATGAGACCCCTTTCTTCTCCTTTGAAATAAGAAGGGGTTGTAGCCGGCCGCGCTGTGCGGACCAGCTTGCTCCACCAGCATTTATTACTCCAAGGCTTAGTCCACAGGGACAGTTACTCTTTCGCCATCACGTGGCAGTTTCAAAATACGCGCCATCGATGACTAAGCCTTGGTGGAGCAGACGAACAACAGCGCCGCGCCATCGGCG